CCAGACCGCCCAGAGACACGTCGGGATTTGTTGTGTATATTGGGCCGCTGTCGTGAGGCATGCCGGGAGTTGTAGTTCTCGAAGACTACAAAGAAGATGGCTGGGGGTACTCTGCGAATCGCTGGAGGTCAGGTCGCCCTCTTAGCGCAAGCTCCTAGGACGACAGAGTCCCAATCCCCGACACAGAATATTGAACTGGGCGTGGTGGCTGTTCAGGACTATCTTCCCAACTGTTATACGGTGGAGACAGTTTGATCAAATGTTCGAGGCCAGCTTTTGACTATGTAGCATGGTCTAGGCCAGCCTGGTCTACGTGAGACCTTGTCCAAAAAAAAAAAAAAATAATAAAAATAAAAGGTTATACGCCTCTGTTTCTTCTCTAGTAAAACAAGATAATGAAAATGTTTTCAGAGTTGAAGTGAAGAATAAATGAATTTTTAATAATCTAGAGGTGGGCAGGGCACAGTGGCACACTTATTTAATCTCAGCAGTCCCAGGGCAGAGGCAGGAGTATCTCTATGAGTTTGAGGCCACTCTGGACTATGTCAGGAATAATATGGGGCGAATATTACGAATACTGTGAGAAGGTGAATGTGACGGATGGTGGCACCGCCCAGCAAGTCCCGCGGCGGGCGGACTGGAAAAAGCGTCCTGGAGACGTAGCTTATATGGAAAGTTTATTGACGGGGAGCTAAGAAAATAAGGGAAGAAAAGAGAAGAGATAAGAGAGACAGAGACAGAGGGAGACACACACACAGAGAGCTGCCTCCTCAGAGAGAGGACAGAAGAGAGGGAGAGGTGGAGAAAGAGAGACAGGAAAAAAAAAGGGGGGGGGGCAGGACAGACAGGGATCTGTCCGCCTGAGAGAGAAACAGAAAGAGAGAGGGTAGGCGGAGTTTTCCTCTTAAAGGGCCAGGGTACGTACATGCGCAGACGGGTGAGAGGCAGGGCCAGGCTTGCCTGGATTACAACAGTCTTCCTAGGGTGTTCCAAGCCAGCCACGGTTACGTAGAGAGAGACCCTGTCCAAAACAAAACAAAACAAAACAAAACAAAACAAAACTGTTTAGGGATGGAACCTGACAGCCTAGAACCTACGGAGGAAGGAAAACCGACTGCAAAGAGTTGTTCTCTAACTTCCACCCGCGGACCTTGGTGAGCACCCCACCCCCAGGTACATATATTAGCTCTCATGTGCCCATACAATAATAATAAATACAAAATGAAAAGTCAATGACGATCTGGGGGTGGGGGTGGCTGAGTGGTAGGGCACATGTACAACACCGCAAAAATGTAAAGTTGCTGGATGTGGTAGCACACATGTGCAGTGAATGGGCAGGCTGAGACAGGAGAATCGTTTGCGGTCAGCCAAAGCTTGGACAACAGTCTACCACACATGCACACACACTTGATACTTCCAAGTCTTTCCTTATTTTAGTATAAATGAAATTGTTGATGTATTGGATCCCATGGACAATCACTAGAGCCCTTACAGAGATTGGGAGAACAATTGGGGGTGGGGAAACCAAAGTTCAGCCTGGCATATCCAACCGTGGTTAGCAATGCCTCCTGCTTAGGGTGGACAAACAGGGTAGCAGAATTGGTCAACCCCATCACTGGTCATTCTCATTGTTTTTCCACCTCAAGGAATGATCCAATCTGAGTTGCTTGTGCCAGTTAATGACATTTAGCTAAAGACTATTAAGAACACACCAGTGATTGAACTAGAGTGAAGTTAATAAAGTGAGTTATTGTCTTACCCAGAGAGAGTTGAGTTAGTGTTAAAAGATTTGTAGGAAGGTTCACAAAAGCAACTTTGGACAATCAGGATGTGATAGTACAAGCCTATAATAATAATAATAATAATAATAATAATAATAATAATATAATCTTCCTATAATTTGGGACGGTAGAGGAGGCAGGAGGATCTTAAAAATGTAAGGCCAGCCTCAGCAATGAAGGAAATGTAATGGTTGTGTGAGACCTTATTTCTAAACCAAACAAAAAGCAGCTTTGACTGGAATGAATTGTTAGGAATTGAGGATAATTCAATGCCCGGGCATTTGGATTGCGTTTTTTTCCTTAGAAGATAAGAAAATGAAGGGAACCTAAACCTGGATGTTTGGTTATTTCTGTAACTTGGAAAATGGTCATTGTTTTAAATAATAAAGATTCTTTCAAGCTTTGAAAGACTCAGAGATGGATTTCAACTGAAGTATCCTTTAGTAATAACAGCCACTTGCAGCCAGGGAAGCTGGGATAGGAGACTGAGCAATTGGACATACAAAGGGAATTTCCTGTTTGTATCTACTTTATAGTAGAGGTCTCTGAGCTTAGGAATGGGTCTCACTCAGCTAGTAGATCAGTGAAGGTATTAGACAGGATATAAAACCCTAATTTAGGAAACCAAGTCTATTGTCCCACTGTACCTTGGGGTTGCTCCATGCCAGGAGTTACCAGTTTAGGGACAGCCCTAGATAGGATACGAGACATGGCTATCTGTTTTACAAGGGAAGCCATTTTTGTCTGTTGACACTTTTTTATGAGACAGGGTTTCTTTGTGGCTTTGGAGGCTGTCCTGGATCTAGCTCTTGTTGACCAGGCTGGTCTCGAATTCACAGAGATCCACCTGCCTCTGCCTCAAAAGTGCTGGGATTAAAGGCGTGCACCACCACCACCCATCATGACACATTTTTCAAGTTGCTTTGCTTTCCTCTTTAACTTTAGAGGTAATAGAATAATTTTGTTTGAAGACGCCCTGTGAAATTCTTCAGCAAGACACTGAAGACTCCTTGATTGTATCATTTATTTTAGCTCTAGAAGCTCATCCCCTAGAAAAAAACAGTGTCTAAGAGCTAAATGATGGGGGCAAAGGAAAGCTTTATGAAGAATGGAGATCTGCTCATGCACCAACTTCTCCACCCCAGATGTAAACCCCACTGGGTGAGAATAAAACCACTACTACAATTTTGAGCCAAATTTGAAGCCAACTTTCCTAAATACTGGCCAGAACCATGGGTACTGGCCAGGTCCAAACCCAAGACCCACACTCAGAATATGGCACTGAATTACATTAGTCAGGGGCTTATAAAGACAAAAGCCACAAGGATATATATCGCCTGTCTTTGTCCAATCAGAGGCAAGGAGATATCCTGACATACTTCCTGCCTATGTACCCCTGCACATCCTGTGTCATTGGGGCAACCAAGCCTTCTTACAGAAGTGAAAACATGTGACTTGCTATCTTACAGGAACAACAGCCCCCTTGCATTCCAGGGAGTTAACTGTCCCTGAGCAAGTGGGACTTAGAGGTGAGAGGCATTTTTGTTTTATAGGTCTCTCAAACACAGTAATTTAAACTTAAAACATAAAATTAGCAATCACACAGAGAGACTGAGGGATTTAGATAGAGGCTAGGAATGGAGAAACAGCCTAATTAATAAAAGGGGATTAGTCCTTTCTGGGAATAGGCAGAGATCTTCCAGGAACTTGGACCACTTCTTTCTACTCCTTTATGATCCGGTGCTTCTGGTCCTGGTGGCTGGTAGGTGTCCTTAGCCTTGATGAAAGAACTGAGGCCAGTCTAGGCAAAGCTAGCACTGTATTATAACTCTGGATGAGATATTTATTCAATTGGAAAAGTACACAAGTACCTGTGGATAGTATGTGCTTTGTGCAACTGTGTGCTCATGTGTGTACGAATATATGAATAGATGGGATTATAGGTAGATTTTTCACCAGACTGTTGTCTCTCCAGTAATGATGTGGAGACTTATTATTAATTATGAAAGCTCTACCAATAGCTTAGGCTTGTTTCTAACTAGCTCTTATAGCTTAAATTAACCTATTTCTATTAATTTATGTGCTTCGATGTGGCTTGTGGTTTTACCTGTCCTCCAGTATGTCTTGCTGTCTTTGCATCTCCTGGCAAACCTACCTTTCTTCTTCGCAGCTTTCTCTGTGTCTGGCTGTCTCACCTATAATTCTGCCTAGCTAATGGCCGTTTAGCTTTATATTAAATAAGTAAGAAGGTGCCTTGGCAAAGATGCATTTTCACAATATACAAAAAGATTATTCTACAATATGGGATGATCTCCAAATGTGTGCATATGCATACATGTACATGTATGTTCATACATAGATGTGTGTGACTTTGTGTATTGATACATGTATGCATGTTGATGTGTGTGCTTATAGTTACATATTCATTTGTTTTCATATGTGTATATTTATACCTGTGCTTGCACACATGTATGCTTGTCTGTTCTGTGTGCCCTTTTATGCAAATACGTACATATGTGTGCCCTTGTTTGAAATGTGTGTCCATGTGCAATGTTTATATGTATGCGCCTACATCTTTCTGTGAGTGTATGTCTGTGAATATATTTGTGGGCCTGTGTGTATTCTGTGTTCAGTGCATAGATGTATTCATTTAAATGTGTCAATTTGTGAGCCTATGTATACATAACTGCATAAATGCACACATATATATGTATTTGTATGTATATGTTTTGTGCACACAAGTGTGTGCCCTCTGTATGTGTCTCTGCTGCCTATGATTTATCTCAGGAGAGATAAAAGTATAAGAGTGTAACATCTAGTCAGAGTCTTTATGTTTCTAGTTGCACCAGTGCTGAATTCATCCAAAGAATATATTCTGCATTTCAATTACTTAAGACTATTAGGTGGTGATCACTGTTAATCAATAAATTATTAATATATAATCACAATTTATTCTGAAGCTATTATCTATCTCGTACAAACACCCCTCATGGAACTAATTTTGGGAATAAAGCTTGTGGTGATATCTTGCGTATACAAATAAAGCCTGTCTGAAGATCAGAGGATGGAACTTGCCACTAGCTAACCATAGAGCTAACCATTCAGGAGGCCTTTACAAACAGACAGGAAGTGAGATGGCTGGGTGGAAACAGGAAGTGAGATGGCTGGGTAGAGAGAGGATATAAACAGGAAGAAACAGGAACTTGCTCTTTTTTCTGCTGGGAAGCTAATGAGGTAAAGTGTGACTGTGGCTTGCTCCTTCTCCTCCTGATCTCTCAGCATTTTCCTCTATAGGTGACTCTGGGTTTTTATTATTTAGACCAATTAAGAACTCCATTTACAAAAGGTGCTTTTCTTCCTGGGTTTCCCAGATAACCCATTCATGTTGGTGACAGTGGGCACACATGAACAAATCCCATGTATCTTGTCAACTGACGCGTCACAAAATCACTATCCATTAGTAGTTATATCTTTTAAAGCGATGAACACTAAATATGTTAAATATGAATGAAAAGGACCTGGGCAGTGGGGGTATGTGCCT